TGGGCACAAAGATGTCTCGTATAGAGAGGGGTGAGTGTAGTACAAATTGCTATTATAAAAGGAGGTTTGTAGGTACACACCCACCCTTTGATGCCCCCCGAAATAGAAGCCCCTCTTCAAGTTTCGTAACCTCCCTAGCTGGGTACTGCACACTAATTAATACAAAATGCCATACAAATATTCTTTGCTTTGTGCACACCCCTCCACAATACAGGCCTCCTTTGAGTCAGCACACAGCCTTGCGTATGACTTCCGCTCTCATTATCCGGCATCCCCCTATAAGTATCCCTATTTTTACTACCATTTCCTCTAACTTGAAGATAATTATAATTTTTAGGTCATGTAACATGCATACATTTGACTCAACTGCAAAAATAACTGTCAATGGGGGACATGTACTTTTCCATTTAAACAGTCTACAGTTATCAATCGCCATAGTAAATAACGTACATACACAAGATACAAAGGTATCGATTTCTCTATCTAGACAGCACTGCGATCTATAATCCGGTGCAGGGGGTGACTGGATTTACGCTATCAAAATATCGAAAGAAGCAATCTACTATGCTTGCGTCACCTTTGGAGGCTGTCTACGCGTCGCTGACGGGCGCGGAAAGGATTGAACTTTCTCATGCGGTAAGTGAAGGTTACACCATATCAAGAAGTCTCTCTAAAAAGTGCCGCTCGGGTGAGATCAGGAAATTCTGATTGGTTTGTGCTCATAATGGTCCGTACAAGAACCAACGGGAATACCTCACAGATCAGTCGCGAAAGCGTCACAGCTCAACACGAAAGTACAAGTGTCCATTTACCGAGACAATTACAAGAGAAACAGTATGCGATGATGATGATAATGACCATACTATTAATAGCAGCGATTGTGATTCTGTAGCAATTTTCCAGTGGGCTTTGGGTGCTAAAAACAGCAAGCACAACCACGAGGCAGCAGATGATGTATCGGTTTATCCCGCCGCACAAAAAATCAGTCTTTACAACACCACGGCGATCAGTGCCGTGGCAAGAGCAGGTGCAGCACTTAAGGTCATCTTGGCAACAGTTCTTCAAAGCGATCCAAACTGCGATCTCATTCCAAGGGACATATACAACGCAAAGGCGGTGGCCCGGGAAAATATCTTGCTGGAAGAGCACCTATGGGGATGCTGCTGGATGAACTTTAGGCAAATAACATTCTCCATGCTTACGACCGCGACGACTAAGGTCGAATAAACAAGCTTTTCTTTGCACCAAGCGTATGCGTCCGACTTGCACGAGAATTTCCTCATGTCATGATCATATATTGTACATACAAGGTCAAAAATTACGTATTGATCGCATCTGATTTCAAGATGACTCAATTTATCAGCATTGATCGTTTTTCTCTTCTTATTAGATTCAAGATGCTAATGCTACACATAGTTGGAGTATCTTTAAGTAATGACAGCTTTTCGGTCGCATTCACATTTCATTCGTCCGAGCGAGAAGAAGACTACAACTGGGCTTTCTATCATGTAAAAAGCATTTTCATCGCCGATCAACTACCTCATGTAGATGTCACGGATCGGGAACTTGCTTCAATGACTGCCCTTGTACGCACTTTTCTAAAGCGCACAATCTGCTTTGTATCTGGCATATTTTAAAGAATGTACTTGCCAACTGCCGCAAGCACTTTCAAATCGACAAGATTGGGAAACGTTCGAGGCTGATTTCAAACATCTGTGTTATTGCATCGATTTTTCATCATACAAGACAGATTGGGCTGGCGTCTGCAAACGCTGTCCTATCTCTATCAGCAAGTACATTGAAATGACTTGGATATGTTATAAAGGTCGGTTTATCCTTGCATGGACCAAAGCGTACCGGCATCCTGGAAACACAGCAAGTAATCGAGCCGAGGGACCGCTATGGAGCAGACAAATCACGGATAGCAGTGTCGACGGGCGATCTTGCAGATGTTTATCAGAGGATATTGCTTGACGTTGATCATCAGGACAAGGTCATTCGGCACAGCAGTGCCTCTAGCCGCGCAAATACGCTTATCGCTCTCTCGAGTGATATTTGGGCTGATGTTCGACGAAAAATATCACATCACGCGCTAAAAAAGGCTCATGAAGAGGTAAAGAAGGCACGTATCTTGCCGTCAACTCCAGGTACTAATGTCTTTAGATCAACAATTGGAATTCCATGTTTGCATCGCGTTCGCGACATCTTAGCAAAGCGTGGGCGATTTCAAAAAGAAGCTTTTTGTATTCAGTGGTGGCTTGATCGCAACGAGAACACCTGTTACGAGGATACTACCGATCTTACTCTGGAACAAGCCATGTCTCAAATTCGAGATCGCTGTTCTCAGCTACAACCACACCAACAGCGAATTCTGTTGGATCGTATTATTCTATTATCACAAGAGGAAGTATTGGTAGAGGTTCATTTACCTCTACCAGTACGACAGGGTCGCAGTCGTCCAGTTGGCGCTGGAGGGCGTCGCGGATACGACAACGTCTCTACTCGCCGCGATCCAAGTGCACTCGAGCATGTTTTGTTGTAAATTGAAGCTGTTTAGAAGCAAGACGCTGTCACCAATGTGAACGAACAGGGTCGTGGTCGATTTAAGGGACAACAAACATTGAAAAATTCTCAGCCACCGGAACAAACGCCTCCATGCCAAAAATAGATGCACAGTAAGGTCGACCACGTCTTACACCGCGCTAAAGAGGGTACAACATCATACCAATATCTCGTGCATCTTTACGCCCGGACGAGCTTTGATGCTCGCTGCGATAGCAAAAGTTGGTGCAGTGAATGGAGCGGACGTGATCACCACCAGGTCGTTATTTTTCACCGTTGCCTGATCGAACTATTGCAAGCAGACAAAAAAAAGAGTACCACAAAAGTTAGTGATTCTTCTGCCGACCCTTTGTCTTGTACCTATCTTCTACCATCTTCTTGCGACGAAAGACTTGACTATTCATCAGTAGCACTTGACTGGATACAGGAATCTAAGACTGCGTGTGCTGAGGTGTTAGATAGAAACAAATGTGTTAGTACACGTAGTGTCGAAAGAGCGTAATCTGATGAATTATCTGAGGATTAATACGGTGAAAAGGCACAAACGCACCTGATGCTGAAGATGCCTGGCAACTGACTTGAGCAACTGCGTGGCTTTGACGTGAATTTGAGCGATCCGGTCGCCATCTTTTAAGGTAAACACCTAATGGTCACCATCGAACGCACCTATGCAGGTCATCGACCGTGTGTACGTGTACGTGTGCGTGGGAGTACGTGTGTATGTGTGTTGAGGTCACAAGCTGTGCCTCTTGGCTTTCGCCGTGGGAGCTAGCGCGGCCGTCCAGCTTCATTACTTCTCGTATTTCCAGCGTCGTTACGTTTTTCTGGACTTTATTTAAATTAGGGAAATGGTAGTAAAAATAGGGATACTTATAGGAGGATGCCGGATAATGAGAGCGGAAGTCATACGCAAGGCTGTGTGCTGACTCAAAGGAGGCCTGTATTGTGGAGGGGTGTGCACAAAGCAAAGAATATTTGTATGGCATTTTGTATTAATTAGTGTGCAGTACCCAGCTAGGGAGGTTACGAAACTTGAAGAGGGGCCTCTTTTTCAGGTTGGTGTGTACGCATCAAAGGGTGGGTGTGTACCTATAAATCTCCTTTAAAAATTGCTTCTAAATATATAAGCGCTAATTGGCAGCGCTCATTGGCATTCGGACACCTTTCGCTGGCGCTTTAAACCCAAACGCATTTGGAATGGTCTTGATTTTTTTCAGTTATAACGTAAATTTATACTTCTTATATACTCGTACGTCTTCTAGGTGGTCCATAACACTGATCGATAGTATATATTTGTTTAAAGGTCTGACGCTGTCGCTGAAATGTCTTCGAGCTTGTTATCTCCTCGCGCTCTTGTCTACTCTAACTGTTCTTCCAAAGCCTTGAACTTCTTCGCGCTACCAAGAAACTCATGTCCATCATGCAACTTGATGCCACCAGCATCATCATTTAAGTAAAACTGCCGATCGAAATTCTCCACGTCGATCTTCCTGCTCTGTTTCGGTTTTAAGTTCATTCTTTCCTGCGTTCTTTCGAGTCGACTTCGACCTGGTGGACTGTTGAAGATCGGGATGAAGAGTCACGATGTGCGGCACGACATGTCAGATCAAGTTGGTGTCGGCGACTGTTTGCATGTGTATAAGAGGACAGTCGACAGATGAAGGGGCTACAAAGATGGGTGAAGAAGCTTGCAGTTGCCAACAGACAGGAAGCGCGTCGTCGGAGTGGTGGCGAATGATAGCGCAGCGACAGTAAGTCGACCTAGTAAGAGCCGCAGATACAGAGACATAGTGTGCGAGATAGCGAGCAGAATAGCTAGGACATAACGGCACATTTTGAATATCAGTTTCCTTTCTACCTCATCAAGTGCAAGCTCAACATTGGCTATCATGGACATGTTATTACCGCGCGTTGCGGGCCTCTCCGACTGCCATGTGTCCTCCTGATACATGGACACACTTTTCAGTTGTTCAGGCTCATCCAATTGCGACAGGAGCTGCTGCTTTGGTAAGAGCTCCTGGACGAGTGACTCGAGGTGCGACTGCGACGAGAGTCTATTTTGGATCGTGAATTGCTGCGGCTTCGTCTGCGGTGTGCAGAAGGCGAGACACGACGCTCGTGGGAGCGAGAGCTGCGCCGCCGCGCGACGTCTCGGGAGCGAGCCATCCGCGGTCGAGCAGAGAGACTCGTGGCCGAATATGGTTTCTAAAGCTCGTTTCTAAATGGTGCAACACGCGCGGCACAGTGTACCAGATGCCATTCAACACAGGGAGATGCAAGACTTAGTTGCCATCTTGCGATTGGAGCGCTCCTGTGTGGAAAAAAACCCACGTCGAAACAGCTCATCTGTGAAAAACCCATATATGTGACAGGCGCAAGTCTGACCAGCTCCTGAACGGTGTTCAACGCACTGTTGACCGACCACACGGAATCCAGTGCTACGAAGAGTCAGCACTGCTGTCTGGAGCTTTCAGAGTCCATCGACGACCGCGACAGACCGCCATGGCACGTAAGACGTGTCGAAACACGAGTTTGTCCTTGGGCCCAACAACGTCGCCGAAAGTCTCCAACAGCCGTTCAGTGGTCACGCCTGTCGCTGCATTTGCGGCAAGAAACGAGTGCAAACGCTTTGCCATCTCACCGGCGCCAATTGGGGCCGAGCTGCCAGAAGACTGCACGGCACTCGATGCTCCCGAATCGGCTTGGAGCGGGACGGACGTCGCCTGAGCCGCGACGCCGTCGCGTCTTTGTTGGATCCTCGCAAGCATCTCCCGCGACGAGAGTCCATTGTTACTACGCCCACCTCGTCCACGACCCCGACCTCGACCTTGTGGTTTACCCCGCGACACAATCGATGGCTGCTGCCGCCGTTGCGACGGATCGCCAGCAGCGCCCGACCGGCCCGTCCACGTTGGCGTATACACAGTTTCCCGCTGCTGCCGCACGAGAGCACCAGACGCTCGAAGGGCACTCAGTGCTCCTTGAGCAATCTTTGTTGCCTCCATCTCCACGAGATCTGCTTCTTGGTTCTGCACGCCATCCGACTCCACCGCCGAGTGATCAAACACACCGCGTACATCACCACCGTCAAATAACTGCTTTAATACGATGTCGTTATCTCCAGCCTCTGCGTCGACTTTGTCGTCTCTGCTTTGCCCATCGTCGCGGTAATCGTCAATCGCTTCAGCAGGTCGCACAACGTTTCCAGCAACAAACATTTCGTTTGTTTCTGCGACTCCATCCTTTTCTTCTTCTTCGTCCCCTAGGACAAACAGTTCTCGCAACGAGTGCTTGTTGAAACACCGCTTACGTTTAGCATCGTGCAGCACCTTGCTAGTAAGGTACTGTTTGAAGATCTGCCGGTGATAAATCTTCTCTTCGATCGTTCCAGCCGTGACAAGTCTGAACACCGTCACGGGTTTCTGCTGTCCAATGCGCCAAGCTCGTTCGCGAGCTTGGACGTCCGTGGACGGGTTCCAGTCAGGATCGAACACCACGACACGATCAGCACCGACTAAGTTCACACCAATACCACCAGCGCGGGTTGTCAGTAGGAAGGCGAAAAGGTTGCTGTCGAGGGCATTGAAAGCGTCCAGACGCTGCTGCCGCTCTTGTACACCCGTTGTACCATCGAGACGAGTGTACGTGAGGCTAAGCCTAGCCATAAAGCTCTCTAAGATGTCCAGCATACCGCGCGTTTGTGAAAAGATCAGCACTCGGTGACCCTGCGCCTTCCACAACAACAACACCTTCTGTAGCACAACCATTTTCCCGCTCGCCGATGCAGCGCCAAACGCCTCTTCGCTTCCATCTTCTTCTTTGCCTTCGTCCATTTCGTTTAGCGAGCCAGCAATGCTAGCAACCTCTTCTTCGTCGTCGTCCTCAAAACTTTGTCGTTGTTTGTCAGCCAGTCTTCCATCACCAAACGATGCTAGCAAGTCTGGATGGTTACAGATGTGTCGTAGCACAGAAATGGCCCGGAATGGCCGAATGCCTCGCCGCAACACCTTTGCGACTTCGGACGAGGACAGGAAGCGCCTATACAGCGCACGCTGTCTCGCCGTGAGCCGGCAAAATATAATCTGCTCTTGTTTGCCAGGAAGCAGTGCACCCATCCCATTGTCAGCGCCGTTCGTCAGGATTTCTTGTTTCGTGCGACGGAGCAGGAACGGCTGGATGAGATCTCTCAGGGCCAGTGCACACTTGTATGCCATCAACACCTGCATCTTAGTTGCTGTCGCGTATCCTCCCGCTCGAATGGGCAGCACAAACTCATCGTCGAACGTTGGTAATGTGCCCAAACGTCCGGGATAAACGAAGTCGAACAGCGACCAAAGCTCTCGAAGTCGATTCTGAATCGGTGTACCAGAGAGAATGATGCGGTGTATCGTGCGCAGCTGTTTGCAAGCAAGCGTTGTTTCAGCGTCTGGATTGCGAATCCGGTGTCCTTCGTCCAGCACAACGTAGTCCCATTCGCGCGTGAGAAACAAGCTCTGATACTGTCGCACATTTTCGTACGTGCTAATGACCACACCACCGCCTGTCGGTGCGTGCTCTCCCCTTTCGCGATATCCCATTTCCTCCTCCTCTTCGCCGCCCAACACGTCATTTTCGTAGCAAAACGTCTCTTCAATAAGCTGCTCGTAACACGCACTCGACGATGACGTGTTTACGCCTGTCCCCGAAGCATGGAGCAGCACGACCCGCATCCAAGGCGTCCACTTGTGCAGCTCTCGGACCCACTGCAACAACACCGACGCTGGACACAAGAGCAGCACTGTCTGAAGTCTTCGCGCCAGATGCAGCGAGCCTACAAAGGAGGCTAGCTGCACAGTTTTGCCAAGCCCCATATCGTCTCCCAAGATCCCGCCAACTCCTCGTTCATGCAGTTTGTGCAGCCACTCGAGACACTCGCGTTGGTGGGGCAGCAGCTGCGTCAGCACGTAACTTGGCACCAGAAGCCCCGACGACGTCTCTGTCACGTCCCACGGCGAATAATACGTCACTCGAGTCTCTACTTCGCTCTCTTCTTCATCGCGTTGTTGCCGACCTTTCATCTCGATGTCTCTTCCTTCTCTTTCGCCTACGTTGGCGTCCACGAAAGCGGCAACCGGCTTTGGATTATTGTAGAATGTCTTCCTGCACTGAGTCACCGAGTCTTGCCATTCGCGACGCAAGTCATGCAGCCGACGTCGGTACAGATCCAAACTACCGTCGTCTGTCCACGTCGTGGCTGCAGCGTTCCGATCATAGTGCTGCGTCGTTGTCGTCGCTACTGTACTCTTATCATTTCGGGGATCATGTCTCTTACTTTTGTTCGAGTACTTCTTCTTCGTGGCGGCCATACGACTTTTCGAGCAACTCGGCTGCTTTCCGTCTGCTTTGACTGCTACGTCGCCCGTACGTTTTCGGGAACGTGAACACGCGTCTCCTTGGACCAAGCGCCGACGTTTTTGCATTGTGTGCCTTGTGTGTTGACTACGATGTTTTTGGCTTCCGTGACTTGCAGTTGAGAAATCGTCGGAAGAGTCGTCGAGACTCGAAAGAGGGGTAAAGACGCTGACGTCGGACGCGTCTTCGGAGGACCAAGGGGATGGAGGAGTGGCATGAATGGGTAGAGGAGAAGAAGGTGGAGGTGGTGGATGTGGCGGTGTAGCAGTAGACGTCCCGGAAGCGTCAGCAGGAGGCGGAGGAGGCATCGGGTCGTACGAAAGTGGACTTCCGAAACCAGCGGACGATGGGCTGTTGCACTCGCTGTCGTATGCCTTTGACGCTGCTTCGGTATAAATACATTGCAAGCCTATTTTTAGGAGAAGGTTCAGGATGTTGCCACCCTTTATAAAGGTCTACCGTTTTTGCCGTTTTGCGTCCGACACCCCGTACTTTCAGTAAGTTTCAGCGGCATGTCCACTTAATCCAAGCTTCATTGGCTCGACTGTCATAGAAAATGCGCGGATTCCGTTTACGGCACACGACGAGGAGACGATTATTGGCGAAAATGCAAGATGGCGAGAGTTTGACGAAGTTCGGCCGACCACTCTCGGTAGGAAGATGCAGCCACAATCGTTTTATAAAATGGTAGGATGGTAGAGAGCGTAAGAAACAATGTTTGTAGGACGTTCAAACAGGATCACTTCTTTTTTAAAGCATCCTCTATACCTATAAAGTCTAACAGGTTATGAGCCCAAATGGCGAAGAAGTTGCTGCGGCTGAAGGTCGTCAGCAGCGCAGGGCAGATGCCGGTCGCGAAAGGGCCGGCGCCCTGGAGGAGAAAGAAGAGGTCAAGGAAGAACCAAGGGACACGCAGAGCAAGCTGCTGGACCTTCTCACGGGCCTCACGGAGCGCATGGAGCGCATGGAGGCGTCGCAAGGGCGACTGGAGGAGAAGGAGCGCTTGAAGGGCCATGAGGCCAGCGTTTTTGGTTCGATGTTGGGGCAAGGCAAAGCCATGACCAGATAGGCGTTGGATGTGTCGCCACCGAGGCGTGTGTCACCCGGCGTATCGCCATCAACGTACTTTGGTGCAAGGCAGCCTGGATACGCTGGTGCATCGGCCAATGTTGAGATGGCGCAAGCGCCGCAACCAGTACTGCCTCAGCATTACGTGCCACTACCCATTCACCAGCCGGCACCTCCACCACACATGGTACCAGGATTACAATACGATCGTGTGCCGGATACGCAACAGAGGAAGCTGGGCATTCGACCTTTTGATGGCAAGGAATTGTTTCAAGGTCTTGGAAGTGGGTCTTTATCGCGATGCAAGAGATTTGTAAGGCAGATCATATTCGCGGAGCGAGCAAGTGGTTTCCAGTGGAGTGAAGACGTCAAGGTAGACATGCTAGGGCACCACTTGACCGGAATGGACGAAAGATATTACAATCAACAGGTCGAGGGGTGATTTGAAGAACAGCCGACGCTAGAGCATGCGAGGCAGAGTCTACTCCATTCGTTTGCGACCAAGATAACTCCTGCACAAAGTATGAAGATTTTTACAGCTCCAAAGAGTTCCAAGCAAAGCTGAACGGAGCATTACCTGTATTTGGTGGCGGTGAGTAAAGCGTGAGGAGGTGCCAACAACCTAGTTTAAGACAACATTGTGCATTCCGCCGACCGCAGTATGAGGGTGTCGATGTTGGCGAGGCTAAACCTCACGCGCTTAGACTATTTGCGGCAGGCGGAAGAGCTTGCGCACTTCGCGCAGTCGACAGAGATCGAACTGCACGGGGAGAATATCGGAAAGGACGTGGTTAATACCGTCGAAAATGGACGCCGAGCCTATCTCAAGACCCGAACGCACAATCGCAAGGACCGTCGAGATGTGCGCACGTGCTACAAATGTGGAAAGCCAGGACATTTAAAGATAGCGTGCCCCGAGGGCAGTGCTGAGACAAGAGCGACGGATGATGTGGACTTCGTTTTGGCCATAGGCGGATCAAGTGTCAAGGATGATTACTGGATCCTCGATAGCGGATCGAGTCGACACCTGGTTAGTGAAGCTTTATTACTGGAAGGTCCTGAGAAGCACATCAGCGAGTGCGTCGCTGCGGATGGTGGACACCTGCGCATAACGATGCGTGGAAGTGCGATTATTGCTACGACAGTACTGAGTAAAAGAAACAAGATGCGCTTGACGGATGTGTACTTCGCAGAAAACCTCGAGAGAAACGTTATGTCGTATGGACTATTGGAGAGTAAAAGGTGTGTAATATCATACCGGGGCGAATACCGTGTGGTAGCCGCATAGGACGAAGGGCCAGCTGTTTTCGACGTGGGAATACACAATAACGTGTTGGTCGTGCGTGCACAAAAATGCGAACTAGGTACGACGGGACGTGACGTGCTGATGTCAGCACTTGTACAACACGATGAGGACGTCGGACAGGATGTGCAGAAAGGACCGCAGATGCACTTTCATAAACGCCTTGCGCATCTTAATTACGACACTATGATTACGATGGCCAAGGATCCCGCATCAGGAATACAGCTAACGGATGATCTGCGGGCAAACTGTTTGGCTTGCGCCCAAGGGAAACAAACCAAGAACCCGCAGTCTCGGAAGGACACTGGACGAAACGTTCCGATCGACGTGATTGGAGGAGTTATATGATCCGACTTGAAGGGGCCGATGAGCCCACGGGACGCGTTGGGCAACCGCTACATGGTAAATTTCATCAAGCATCGGACAAACTAATGTCGCGTTTTCTTGGCCAAGTCCAAGGATGTCGCAGCTCAGAAGTCCAAGCCCTTCATGGCCTTTTTTGATCGACAATTCAATTGTCGTGCTCACTTTTAAGGACGGACGGTGGAGGAGAATACAAGACTCTGGATCTATTCTGCAAGGACACTGGCATTGTGCGCCAGGTGAGCGAGCCACGTAATTAAGCAAGTAACGGAAAAGCGGAGCGAATGCACCGTACCATTATGAACATGGTGCGGAGCATGCTATTTGCTTGTGGATTACCGTTAAATTTTTGAGGAGACGCCGCGGAATATGCGGTGTATATTCTTAACCGGAGCCCGAGAAAAGCGAATATGGGAAGATAGTCACCATTTCAAATGCTTACGAAGAGCATCCCAGACTTGAGGGACATAGTGGTTTTTGGCTCGCCATGCACGGTCCATAGAGATGCGAGTAACAAGTCGCTGGGGGAGCGTAGAAAACAAAACATCAACATCGGCAAGAGCGATGGTATGAAGGACTACATAGTTTATTTGCCAAGGGAGAAGACCGTCATCGTCACACAGCACGTTCGAAACGTGGAGACATTGACCAAGGATCAGAATGCGCAGTTACGTCGTGTGCATCCAACGGTGGATGATGGAGAAATTGGTGAGCGTGGCGGTTATGCGTCGATGAATAACCCAATACCGGTTCCAAGAGAAAAAGCAAGGGACGAGGACAAAAAAAAACCTGGACGCGCGATGCTCACATGACCAGGACGGCGGCGCAAAAGGCACGCAGAAATGATGAAGAAAGTAACCGGCCTGGTAAAGAGATGAATAGCGTGCGGGAGGCAAACTTGAAGAGTTATGGGCAAGCCATGGAGAGTGAGCAGTGGGAAAAGTGGCTTACTGAAATGTCGGAAGAGCTGCAAGCGCTTGAAGATAACGGAGATTGGTTGATTGTAGTGCCACCAAATAAAAGTCACGTGCTGCACACAAAATGGGTCTATAAGACCAAAACGGACGCTGATGGAGCTATTGAGCGATTCAAGGCAAGATTGGTTGCCTGTGGCAATGAGCAGGTGCATGGCGTTGACTATGGACTTATGTTTGCTGCTGTTATGGAATTGAGCACGGTTTGGGTGATTCTTGTGCTTGCCTTGCGTTGGGGAGTACCGGCGAGACACGGGGATATTCCCAACGCGTACGTGAAGGCTGATAAAGAAGAGCACTAGGATATCTACGTGGCGATTCCACATGGGATGAAATCCAAGTTGGCTCTCTACGACAATTTGGCGTACAAGATAAATCGTACTTAGCGCTACAGCTGAAGAAGTCTCTCTATGGGCTCAAGCAGGCGGGCCGTCTGTGGAGCAAATTGCTACACACCAGGCTGGAGGAGGCTGGATTCACGCAGTGTGAAACCGATATGTGCTTGTATTGTAAGCACCAGGGAGACGATGTGACGATTGTCGGCGTTTACGTGGACGACTTACTAGTCACAGCGTCCATTCCGAGGATGGTAGAGCTGTTTTTCGAGGCGATGGCATATTTATCGATCAAAGATTTGGGCGAGGTTCGCAAGTTTCTTGGTATGCGAGTTAGTTTGGAGGACGAAAAGACGTGCACAGTGGATCAACAAGCGACTATTGAAGAAATGCTTGATCGTCATGGTTTGAAGGAGGCGAATGGTGTTCGTGCGCCAACAGTGAAGAATCTAACGAAGTGGAAAATGACTCTTTGTTACTGACAACGGTACCGAAACAAAGAGGTGAACCAAAGATTCGCGACTTTTTGTCGCTTGTGGGGAGCTTACTTTGGATTTAAAGATGTTCACGTCCGGATATCAGCTTGCAGTTCACAAGGCCACGCGGCGCACTCATCAATCTACTATGAGTGACTGGAAGCTGACAAAGAGAGTTGCAAGATGCTTAAAAGAGACCAAGAACCTCAAGCTCAAGATGATTGTTTCAAGAAATGAAGGAAAAAAGATCAATTTGGCAAGTTGGAGCGACTCGGACTATACGGCTGATAAGGTGGACCGAAAGTCTGTCACAGGCAAAGATTTAACTATGGACGGTGCTATAGTGCAGTGGGTGTGCAAAAAGCAGACCGGGGTGTCGCTATCGACAATGGATGCAGAATTGGCGTCGGCCTCGCACGTTGGGAGAGAATTGCTAGGACTGAGGGAGCAAATGCCTGAGATTGGATTTCAAGTGGAGGCCCCAATGTCAATGCTCATGGACAACCAGGCTGCTATCAGACAGCTGGAGACTGAAGGAAGTATGTCGAG